GAGCCTTATCTTACTGAGTCATTTAGTCATGACATTCTGTTTGTTCAACTCTAGCATTTTCCTCCCAAAGGCCCACATATCCTCACTTATATCATGCTGAATTTGTCTCATAGGGATAGAGAATTCTGATCCTCATGGGACTCGATAAGCAAATTTTCACACACTTGCTTTTATTTGGGGTCTAGTCCTTCGACTCCTAATTTACTCGAGTGTTTATTCATCTGCAGTCTTAATAGCTTAAATGGGACTGACAACAATAATAGTAATGATAATTTATAATTCATACATTCCTTCTATGGATGCAAGTGAGGTTTGCAGGTCAGGTAATCAATTTCCCTTTAGAAGAAACTAATTAAAAACAATCAAAGCCAGTAACAACTAAATAGGTTACAAGTAGGAGGATCTCAAATATTATTAGAATAAAGAATGTATAATTTTAGGAATTAAAAGATACAGAGCTTTCACAAAATACTCTGTGCCTTTGAAAATCATCCTATTAATCATCCTATTACTAACTGTAGTCTCCTATTTTTCAAAATTTTGTCTTCTACTCTTCTAAAACCTGTACCGAACCTTTGTTTCTCCTTTGAGACTTTCTGCCTCTTACTTGGTTTCTTCCTAAAACTACTGGGGGGCCGGGGGGTGGGGAGGAGAAGTACCACATGTCTTTACAGGTTTAGCAGGTATAACTCTTAATCCCATGTCACACAGTGAATCTTACTAAATTATAATGGCCACTTATTAAAATCTGTGCCCACTCTGGAGCAGCTTCTTAAAATAAGGTGAGTCAGCAGCCTTGAGATGTATATAGTGCAAAGGAGACCCACTGAGGTAGTAACTAACTAGATGGAGATCTGTTCAAGGAATTTAGGAACTGCAGCAAAGTGTCAAGGATATTCAGGCAAATATCCCCTCTGCGTCCATCTATAAATAAATAAAATTCCCAGTATGGGAATTCACATATCTTTTTTACAGTATCCATAGCATGCTGTCACTGCAGATTTTTCAAACAGTACACAACGCACTGTGACATAGGCTTAATGTTTTACCAACCTGTATACTAGCCAATTTTAGTTGCAAGCTGAATTTTAAAAATATTTTAAATCGTTTTCAGTCCTGCAGTTTAAGATAAATCTCCTGTTGCATTTGTGATACGTGTTCATCCATCACAGATTCTTACTTGTTGAACCAAAGGAGTATTGCACTACATGAAACAGCATCTGGCATTTGTCTGGCTCTTTTAGTAGTTATTTAGAACAACAGGAATTTAAGCCTTTTAATTTGTCTGCTTTTCCTGATTTTAATATTACGTATGCATGTTGTTTCATTGCATTTAACTTTCACGGTATTTTAAATTAAATAGTGTTAAATGAAAATGTCCTTATCTGTATTTGAAATGCGAGTACTTGATCAAACTTTATAAGTATACATTTAGGGAGTTACTTGTATGTAATTTGTGGTATCTTGTGAACCTGATAGTACCATTGCCATCAGTGAATCATGATGTTACTTTGTTTAAAATGTTACAAAATGAAACTAGTGTATGCATGCAGTAAAGGATTTTGGACAACTGTTGAAATTTCAGCTTTGAGGAACACTGAATGCAACAGAAGTATTAGCCTCTGTAAAGGAAGCCATTTGTGAGAGAAATTCCGTAGGTGCATACAAATGTCATCAGTATAAGTAAATCTTTTTCTTTCTTTTTTGTGCTCTTGGCTTGTTGCCATATATTCAAAGTGAATGTCAGAGTTTCTGCCTGAAACAAATGTTTATAGTCTCTTGGAAGTATTGCAGTTGTTTAAAATGGAATCTGAGCTCTAGCAAAACTTATGGTGCCGCTGTAATAAAATTATGTCTATCTGTTGTGACAACTCAGGACTAAGATATCATGAGTAGGCATGCTGATTACCTACATCATGGATGGTACAATGCAGTGCTTAAAGCAGAAAATGTAACGCTACAGAGAACAGGCATCCATGGTTTATTAAAAAAAAGTGAACATGGAGATAGTGAACCTCTTCAATTATATTTTAAATAGTGCCACATTCATAAAAAGTTCCTCATGATTGGACAACAGCAGGCATACTTACATTAATGAAGATGCATCAGTGAGGAGAGTATCTGATTTTTTTTAAAAAGGATATCCATACCTAACAGTGAAAAAAGGAAATGTATATACAGTCTATCCATTAGTGTGTTGAATGAATTTTAGTGCCACTCAAATTTTAGTGCCACTCCTATTTCTGCCATTAACCCCTTGTCTGACATTTAGAAAAGCCACTTCACTTACTTAAGCTTCAGTGTCCACCTCCCACTCTTCATCGGTGTATCTGGAGTGCAAGTTCTCCCAATGGGTTCTGCCTTTATATGTAATAGATAATGTAACCAAGTTATACTAACAGTTGAGATTTCTAGGTCCTATTGTAATAATATTTCCTATAATTGAATGTATAATGATCCAAATAATAGAAGTAGCAAGCATGTAGCACAGCTGTTGTTCCTGGTGTTATGGTTGGAGAGTTCACGGAGTGCACTATGTTCTTTATGTAGTAAATCCTGAATAATGGTCTCCATTCTTAAGCTGTTCTTTGGTGGGGGGCGTTTTTTGGGGCTGGGGGGCGGTGAGGGGTTGCATACTTTGGGTTTGCATAACACCAGTTTTGATGAGAACAGTCATAAATGTTTATGCATTGCCTGGGAAGAAAATCCAAGGTAAATCAGAATGAATATCTTGTTATCCTACACTTTGGCAGATTTTTATTAGTGTTATTTCCTCTAAAGCTTTTAATAACTATGCAAGTACAAGATTTTTTTTTCACTTTCCTTATGTGGGATATCCAACATTTCTTTACATGAGCATTATATGTAGAAATACCCAGTTATAAAATATTATCAGTGTTTTATTCTATCAAATAGAGGAGACAGTGCTGGGAGTAAAGTTATTGGAAATAAAATAATTTACTAAAAACTGATTTTATAGTCTGAGTTCCCTGACCATTTACTTCCTGGTGAGATAAAACATGTTGGTCACTATTTATGTAAGTTCTGGGTCCCAGTATCTTAAAATTTACCTCTGACCTTATGCCTTACTATGGCAGATGAAATGACTGTTTATGGCTTACTAAGCCACTACTTATCATACCATCAGAGAACATGTCAATGCTGCAGTCAAAAGTGTGATTGTACCTTAGCTAGCTTTAAACTAGCCAGCATAAGTAGTGGTAGTGTAGTTGCAGCATTATGGAGTCACCTCATGTTTTCCTTGGAGTCTCAGGTTTGTTTTCAGGTGGCACTTAGCTCTGTATTCCCTCAGCAATAGTGTTATTTATATCCAAGGTAGTGTGTTTAAAGATAAGTTGGATAACTCCACAAAAAGTTGCAGAGACGAATTTTTGCCCGCAGTGTGTTCACATCCTCAGTTTTTGTTTCTCAAAGAAGGCATATTAAACGTGTTAAACTTCTAACTTAGATTCTTAAGGTATCATCTTTTTTCAATTTATGCTGCAACCTCTCTAAGTTTTTCATTTGGAGAATTACAGTGCAGTGAAAAAACAGGAAGGATGAAAGTATCTCAGAAAAGAGCATCATTGTATTATAATGTATATTTTATTTGTTATTATTTTTTAAACCTGAAGCAGAGAAATGTTTTTATTAGGAATGTATTTTTCAAACCTAGTTTGGCATGTTTGTACAATGGAGCATTTCTCTCTCTCTTCTTTCCTCCCCTAGGCAAGAACAGGCTAGTGTTCTGTATCAGAACATCAACATAGTAGAACCAAGATTAATTCAGCCTTATGAACGTGTCATTAAGAACTTCATCCGAGAGATCAAACTTCAAAGCACAGAGATGGAAACCTTAGCTGTGGCTGTGAAAAGGTACAGGGAATTGTCAAAAGAATGACTGTGAAGTATGAGAGCGAGTAGGACGGTGGGTCTGTTAAAGTTGCTTGGTATCAATGGAAAATGTGTTGAACAAATATTTCCTCAACTGATGAGTTCAAAGAATCACAATTGATGTATACACCCTTGCATGTGCATATACACACAGTGACTTGCAAATGATTCAGAATTGAATCACTGTAGTTATTCTGTAAGGGGCAACTGGATCCTAGACAGTCAGTCCGAGGAGAGTGCATGCTAGGGCAGAGGGTTACCAGAGTGTAAGCCGAGGTCAAGCTAGGTACCAGTCTGAGTACAGGATATCAAGCCAAAGTTCAGGACAAGGTTATGGTTAACTGATCCAGGGTGGAAGGTCCAAGAAAAGAATAGGAATATGCAGAAGGGTCCTCCTAGAGGCTCAGAGCACAAGTCACAAGCCAGAGACTCGGAGCTAGCCAGAGATACAGCAAGGTTATCTGTTGTCCAGATAGCTTTCTGTTGTCTGGTCTAAGCTTATACAGCCATTGTAGGCAGGGCTTCTCCCTGAGAGATGACTCAGCCTGAATGTCAGATTACCTCCAGCTGGGGCCTGGGACCAGTTCAACCTCAGCTGGGCCTCAGCTCATTACATACACACATGTTATATATACCTTTCCCCCCCAAAAATTAGCCTTCCAAATCAGGGTGCATGTCATAAGTAGGGAGGCTAATTTTCTGCCTAGAATAAAAGCATGGAGGTGCTGTAATACTGCTGCCATGTTTCTTTCTCTTCTCTCCAGTAGCCACATGGAGGGGAGGGGCAGAGTCCAGTGGTGGCAGACCAAAGGCAGGTGCAGTGGTGTGAGTGCACCCCACTTTGATTTCTGCTCCACCCAAAATTTAAAACCAGCTGCCCAGCGGAAGTAGTTACATTTCTATTCAAGCAGTCCTGAGGGAGTCAGTTGATTTCATGACTCGTTATCT